TTTTTTTTGGGTCCGGTCGTGCCAAACCTCTTTTTTTTTTTTTGGGTCCGGTCGTGGGGCCTGAACTCTGGGCCTGGGCACTGTCCCTCAGCTCTTCTGCTCAAGGCTAGCGTTCTACCACTTGAGCCACAGTGCCACTTCTGGCTTTTTTCTTTTTGCTTATGTGGTGCTGAGGAATCGAACCCAGGGCCTCAGGCATGCAAGGCAAGCGCTCTACCACTGAGCCACCTTCCCAGCCCCCTCCGGCAAACCTCTTTAACTCAACAAAAACTTAAGAGTACTTCCCGCACTTAGTATGGATTCTAAGAATCTCACCTCAGGGTTTCTCAAACCCAGTTCGACTGACATTTTGGCTGGAAATACTTGGTTATTGGGATAGGGGCTGCGGAGGAGCTGTCCTGGGCCTTGTAGGGGTGTTCAGACGCCTCGGTGCCCCCTCCGGGCCTCTTTTTAGGGTGTCCAAAGTGGCTTAAACCCCACAATACACGAAGTAGCTACTGTGTTTCACCTCCACACCAAGCCCCTCGACTTCCCCCCCCCCCCACCTTGGTCCTGGGATGGAACCCAAGGTCTCCCTCATACGCTATTTTTCAAAACCAGACACTTGCAGGGTTAATGATGTGCCCAAGGCGCAGGGCTGGAAGCCTGCACCATATCAGGGAACAGGAGATGTCTCCAAGTCTTGAGTTCCTGAGGTCTGGAAGTTCAAAAGCGACCTCGGCTCGGGACGCCCCATCCCCTCGAGTTCCTCCTGCTCTCCCCCCCACACCCCGATGCCTCGGAGCGCCCCGCCCCCGCCCCTCCCCTCCCCTCCGGTCCCCCCGCCCCCCTCCCCTCCCCTCCGGTCCCCCCCGCCCCTCCCCTCCCCTCCGGTCCCCCCCCCCCGCCCCCCTCCCCTCCCCTCCGGTCCCCCCCCACCCCCCCGCCCCTCCCCTCCTCTCTGGTCCCCCCCGCCCCCCGCCCCTCCCCTCAGGTCCTCCCCCGCCCCCCTCCCCTCCCCTCCGGTCCCCCCCGCCCCCCCTCCCCTCAGGTCCCCCCCCTCCCCCCTGCCCCCCGCCCCTCCCCTCCGGTCCCCCCCCCGCCCCCCTCCCCTCCCCTCCGGTCCCCCCCGCCCCCCGCCCCTCCCCTCCGGTCCCCCCCGCCCCCCTCCCCTCCCCTCCGGTGCCCCCCCACCCCCGCCCCTCCCCTCCGGTCCTCCCCCCGCCCCCCGCCCCTCCCCTCCGGTCCTCCCCCCGCCCCCCTCCCCTCCCCTCCGGTCCCCCCCCGCCCCCCGCCCCTCCCCTCCCCTCCGGTCCCCCCCCACCCCCCGCCCCTCCCCTCCCCTCCGGTCCCCCCCGCCCCCCTCCCCTCCCCTCCGGTCCCCCCCCGCCCCCGCCCCTCCCCTCCGGTCCCCCCCACCCCCCGCCCCTCCCCTCCCCTCCGGTCCCCCCCCACCCCCCGCCCCTCCCCTCCCCTCCGGTCCCCCCCCACCCCCCGCCCCTCCCCTCCCCTCCGGTCCCCCCCGCCCCCCTCCCCTCCCCTCCGGTCCCCCCCACCCCCCGCCCCTCCCCTCCCCTCCGGTCCCCCCCCACCCCCCGCCCCTCCCCTCCCCTCCGGTCCCCCCCGCCCCCCTCCCCTCCCCTCCGGTCCCCCCCCACCCCCCGCCCCTCCCCTCCCCTCCGGTCCCCCCCGCCCCCCTCCCCTCCCCTCCGGTCCCCCCCCGCCCCCGCCCCTCCCCTCCGGTCCCCCCCCACCCCCCGCCCCTCCCCTCCGGTCCCCCCCCGCCCCCCGCCCCTCCCCTCCCCTCCGGTCCCCCCGCCCCCCGCCCCTCCCCTCCCCTCCGGTCCCCCCGCCCCCCGCCCCTCCCCTCCGGTCCTCCCAGCCCCCCCTCCCCTCCCCTCCCCTCCGGTCCCCCCCCCCAGCCCCGCACCTTGGCGTCCAGCGTGCGTTTGAGCTCCAGCATGTAGGAGAACTGCTCCGGGTAGATGTAGTCGTACGGGAAGTAGACCAGCAGCCCGTCCACGTTGAGCCTGGCGGCGGGAGCTGCGGGGTCAGCACCCCGAGACCCGGCTTCCACCTCCGCGCCCCCTGACCCCCCTGACCCCATCGCGCCCGACGCCCCCAAGTTCCTTCAGCGGCTCCTCGCTGCTACCGTCCCGTTACTGCCCGGTCTGAGATCCCCCACCCCGCCCTTCTGCTTTTCTTCGTTCTGCCCGAGGCCTGCCCACCGTGGACCCCCATCTTCCAGACCCCCCTCCCCACCTACAACCCCTCTCAGGACCCTCTAAACCCAGCCCCCGGCTCACTTCATGGCGGCGGCGGCGTGAAGTTACGTCGTCTCGCCCTGCTCATGAATATTCAACGAGGGGGCGGGACGCAGGAGGGCTAATGCTTCGCATCATTGGCTAATGCTTTGCGTCACTCCCCCCCGCCCCCCGGCAGGGCAGAGCCAATCGAGGTGTTGCGCGTGCGTACTTTGATGAAAGGGCGTATTCTCAGACTGAGGATCGCCGAGAACAAGGAACTAACCTGGGAGGAAGAGAGCCGAGAGCATCGATCCAATTCATTAGGGTTGGAGCTTCCCCGGTCCGCTCAGGTTGTCTGAATAAGCGGGAAATTGGGAACTCGACAGCTTCTCTGCACCAGACAAACCGTGTATTTGTACAACACCGGCTGCGTCTAGACTTAGGATAAGCAGCTAATAAACAGCTCCTTCCCTTTATTGAGCACCTATTGATAAGTGTTTTAATCAGTCAGTATTGGAAAGGCAGCAAAGCACGATTGCGCATGATTTATGGTTAAAATATGGGTTCTGAGCATAATCCTGGTGCAAATCTCTCTCTCTTTCTTTTTCTTGCTGGTCGTGGGGCCTGAACTCTGGTCCTGGGCGCTGTCCCTCAGCTCTTCAGCTCAAGGCTAGCACTCTACTACTTGAGCCACAGCGCCACTTCTGGCTTTTTCTGCTTATGTGGTGCTGAGGAATCAAACCCATGGCCTTATGCATGTAAGGCAAGCGCTCTACCACTGAGCCACCTTCCCAGCCCCCTAGTACAAATCTTGACTGCACTGTCTGTTAGCTGCAGGAACATGATCAAACACTAAATTCTTCTGGGTTTCCATTTCTCTTCCATTGCAAAACAAAAAGGAACAGAACTAGCACATAGATGGTAGTCAAATGAACATATATGAAGAGTGAAAAATCAGGCCAAGCACAAAGTAAACATTCAACAACTGCTAGCTTTTGTTTTTGTTTTCAGCAAAGTTGTGAATACCAGCTGTGCTGCTGAACACGGTACTAGAATCCAACCCCAATCACTGTCATCAAACAATACAAACAACCATACAATTAACATACAAGCCAGGTGCCAGTGGCTCACACCTGTAATCCTAAATACTTAGGAGGCCAAGATCTGAGAATCATAGTTCAAAACCAGCCTGGGAGTGGTGCTGTGGTTCAAAGTGGTAGAGTTACAGTCTTGAGTGTAAAAACTCAGGAACAGAGTGTAGGCCCTGACTTCAAGCCCCATGATGGACAGAAAAGTAAAAGCCAGCCTGGGGCAAGAAAGTCCTTAAGCTGTTATCTCAAACTAAGCACCAAAAAGCTTTGAAAGTGAAGCTGTGGCTCAAATGGTAGATAGAGCACCAGCCTCCAGTGAAAAAAAGCTAAAAGAGAGTGTTCAGGCCCTGAGCTCAAGCCACAGTACAGGTACAAAAACAGAAGGAAAAAAAACCTCACAAGTGGTGGGAATCTACATTAACAGGCTCCAGTAAGGCCAGGATAGTGAAGAATATTATTATTGTATTGTTTAGGCTTCTTCATGGTTTATAAATCATGTGTTTGAGAGCTAGAGGTACAGCTTAGAAGTAGGGCATGCTTCAACACACACAAGGACCTGATTTCCTTTTTTTTTTTTTTTTTTGGTCAGTTGTGGGGCTTCAACTCTGGGCCTGGGTGCTGTCCCTCAGCTCTTCAGCTCAAGGTGAGCATTCTACCACTTTAATCATAGTGCCACATCTGGTTTTCTGGTGATTGAAAGAACTCTCATGGACTTTCCTTCCTGGGCTGGCTTTGAACTGGGTTCCTCAGATCTCAGCCTCCTGAGTAGCTAGGATTACAGGCGTGAGCCACAGGTGCCCAGTTCTGATTTCCATCTTAATAGCATGGTAATGCATGCCTGGACTATCAGCACAGGAAGATCCAGGTTCAAAGTCAGCCCTGGTAAAGTATCAAAAGCAAAAAAAAGGGGGGGGGGTTGGGGACTTGGCTGTCATGGTATTTACTTTGCATGCTAAAGGAATTGGATTCTATTCCTGGTACTGCAGAGGAAGAGGGAGGGATGGGAGTAAGAGCTACTGGGACAAGGAATGTAAAGAATTTGGTTCCAGAAGCTGGAAAGGCAAGGAAACTTCCTAGGAAGCACCGCCCTGCCAGGCCTGCCAAGGTTTTGGTTTCAGCCGGTGCTGAAACTGTAAACCTCTTACCTCCACAACTGTGGGAAATAAACATGTTGTTCTAAGCCAGGGAGCTTGAGGCCATTTATTACAGCTGCACAGGAAATGAACATGCCTCCTATCCTACCTCTGTGACTCCACCTACCCTGCCTAAAATTTTCCATGATGTTCTTCACCTTTGGAGAACCAGGTGTGGTGTACATGTGTGTAATCCCAGCTACTTGGGAAAATCTGAGGAGCTTAGTTCAAACCAATCAATGGCAGCATAGTCTGTGATACTTTTATCTCCAATTAACCATCAAAAAGCAGGAAATGGAGCTGTGGCTCAAGTGATAGAGCTCCAGCCTTGAGCCAAAAAACGAAAGGACTGTACTCAGGTCCTGACTTCAAGCCCCAGTACCTGAAAAAAATAAATAATCATAGCAATAATAATAAAGACTGGTTTGTTAAGGTCTGAGGCATCCCCATGACTTTCCAAAAATCAAGAAAGAAAAAAAGGAATGGTTTGCTAATGTTGAACATTTGTACAGTTAGAACAGAATCAAAACGAGAAATCAATTTCTGTGCAAACTACCTTTATTTATATAAAGAAAAAAAAATCCTCACGTTGTTCAAAAAGCCAGCATTTCATAATGGCACTTAACTGGGAGATGTGGGGTGGGGATAGTTGGTCTCACCCCAGTCCTCACAGAGACCATGCTGGTGGAGATGGGATGGTCGTGGGGGACTCCCAGGGAAATCAGGTGGCTGGGGCCCATTCCCACGCTCAGGGGGGAGGGTGGGAGGCGACTCGCAGTAGCTGTAAGAGGCACTTATGGACAGGATCTGATTTGGCAAATGTGGGAGGGGTTCGCAGCCCCGCCCCCTGCACCTCCTCGGGCTGAGGCAGGTTCCTAAAGTTAGGGCTAGGGTTCTCCTTCTCCCGGTGCTTCTGGTAGAACTGGAGGTCAGGACCGCACCCCTGCCGGGGCTAGGGGTACAGGTGCACGCGGCAATAATTGCAGGGGCGAGAGGTCAGGAGCAAAGGCAGTCCCGGCTAGCTTGTCTCCACGGGAAACGTCCTTCTGTCCCGTTAGACTTTATTCCTCTGGGGCTTCACCCTGGGGAAGAGCTGGGGGAAGCCGATCTTCAGACACCAGGAGCTCCCAGACCCTCACTGGCCTCTCAATCACCCGCACAGACAGGTAATCCCGCCCCCGAGCCACGCCCCCGGCCAATGGACACATCTAATTAGCACGAACCAGTCAATGGCCAGGAAGGCAGTACCCGTCGTAGAGAAAGACTGAGCATCAACCAATCAACAGCCGGGAGGCAATACCATTTCCCGCCTCTCACTGAAGTGGGCGTTCCCTTTCACCTCACGACCAATGATAGACTCCTGTGACCCCTTTCACTCAATAATGAGCTGCCCTCCCCGCCCCTCTTTTTTTTTTTCTTTTCCAGGATGTCGGACGCGCCAGGCGAAGTCTTTACTAACTGCATGCTCAGCCCGCCCTCCCTCGTTTCTGGATGGCATCTGCAGCCAGCTGCTGTCAGGAGCCTCCTCCCGCCAAGATCTCCTCCCAAGCTCACCCCGAAGTAGTTCCTGGGCACGTAGCCCTCCTGGCCGTGCAGCGCTGCCCACCACCAGTCGGTCTCCTCGGGCCCGTCCCGCCGCAGCACGGTGACTGACTCGCCCTCTCGGAAGGACAGCTCGTCCCCGAACTCGGCGCTGTAGTCCCAGAGGGCGTACACAGCCCCGTTGTGCATCAACCCCATGTTCTGCTCCACGTCTGAAAATACAGGGTGGGGATGTGAGAGCCTGGCTGGAGGTCCGGGAACAGAAACTGGGCCAGGTCCACTCAGGGGATGGGACCAGGGACCATGTCAGCCCAGTAAGGGGAGGAGTTCTTGCTTTTGTCAATGCTCCCCACTTTTAACCCGTTTAAATTTCTACAGATTATGGCTCAGACCCATCATCCTAGCTATTCAGGAGACTGAGATCTGAGGATCGCAGTTCAAAGACAGCCCGGGAAGGAAAGTCCTATGAGATTTTTGTTTTGTTTTGTTTTGTCGGTCGTGGGGCTTGGACTCTGGGCCTGGTCACTGTCCCTCATCTCTTCAGCTCAAGGCTAGTGCTCTACCACTTGAGCCACAACGCCACTTCTGGCTTTTTCTGCTTAGGTGGTGCTGAGAATCGAACCCAGGACCTCATGAATGCAAGGCAAGCACTCTACCACTGAGCCACCTTCCCAGCCCCTCCTATGAGATTTTATTTATTTATTTTTTTTTGGTGGGGGGTGTCTGGTCGTGGAGCCTGAACTCTGGGCCTGGGTGCTGTCCCTCAGCTCTTCAGCTCAAGGCTAGCGCTTTACCACTTGAGCCACAGTGCCACTTCCGGCTTTTTTCTTTTGCTTATGTAGTGCTGAGGAATCAAACCCAAGGCCTCATGCATGCAAGGCAAGCGCTCTACCATTGAGCCACCTTCCCAGCCCATCCTATGAGATTTAGATCTCCAATTAACCAAGAGAAACCAGAAGTAGAGCTGTGGTTCAAAGTGGTTGAAGGGCTAGCCTTGAGTAGAAGAGCTCAGGGACAGCGCCCAGGCCCTAAATTCAAGCCCCATGACCAACAATCATCATCATCATCTACAGTGCACATGCAGAAGAGGCTCTATGCACAGTTCTCTAGATGTAATCTATGTTGTCCCTCCCATCTGAGACCCCGTTGATACAGCTGGCCTCTGGAGAGATGAGGTACAACTCAGGTCTTTTTACAAGCCACTGCCCAAGGCCCCTTCCCCAGCAGCGTAGCCTGCTCACTTGCCAGTTGTGTGCAATACTGACATTCCCCCCTGCCCAGCCCGGTACTACCAGGTTGATGGTCCATTTGGAATCTACGACTTCCCACCCGGCAGGTGAGAAAGGGCCCAGCGGCACCACCTCCCTCACACGTGTCCATCTACAAGGTGTCCAGTCCCCGCCCCCACCAGCTTCCGCCCGCCAGGTGGGCGCCCCAGCCCGGCCTCGCACCTGCCAGGTAGGTGGCGCAGTCGGCATAGCCCTCGCGGTAGGGGTCACACTTCTCGATGGCGGTGGCGCCGTCACTGAGCGTGGTGGCGAAGATGGCGGCGCCGTGCTGCACCAGCGCGGTGCAGATGGCCGTGTCGTTGCAGGAGGCCGCACAGTGCAGGGGGGTCCTGGGCAGCAGCGGGGAGAGGGGGGAGAAGGAGGAACTCCTGAGACCTCGGCCCCGCCCACCTCCCCAGCCCCGCCCACCTGTACCTGGCCCCGCCCACCCTCCCCAACCCCGCCCGCCCGGCCCCACCCACCTGCACTGGCCCCGCCCACCCAGCCCCACCCACCTGCACTGGCCCCGCCCACCCAGCCCCACCCACCTGCACATGGCCCCGCCCACCTTCCCCAGCCCCGCCCACCCTCCCAGCCCCCACCTGCACTGGCCCCGCCCACCCAGCCCCACCCACCTGCACTGGCCCGCCCACCCAGCCCCACCGACCTGCACCTGGCCCCGCCCACCCCGGGCACATGCGCGGTGCAGCGCACTCACCAGCCGTGGCTGTCCGGGGAGTTGACGTTGGCACCTGCAGCGATGAGGAAGTCCACGATGGGGTAGTTGGCGCCGCAGATGGCATTGTGCAGGGCGGTGATGCCCTCCTCGTTGGGCTGGCTGGGATCGTTCATCTGGGAGGACCGGAAAGAAGGAGCCTCAGTCCTCCACCTGTCATCTCCCCTCCCCGCCAAAGCCTCAGCCCTGCGCCTGTCACTTCCCCCTCACCTCCTTCACTGCCTGCTGCACCACGTCCCAGCTCCCCGGTCAGCGCTGCGTCCAGCAGCAGCACCAGTGGGTTGAGGCGAGCACGCCGGGCCTTGCGTGGGGACCCCACCTTCCGCAGCACGGAGCGCATCTCCTGCGGGGGGGGGGGGGCGGGGGGAGGCAAGTTGGGAGACTGACTCCAGCCACTACAAGGGTCTACCAGTACTGCAAGCTCATGCTTGAAAGGGAATTGGCAGGCCAGGCATGTGGCCCAGGTGGTAGAGCACTTGCCTAGCAAATAGAAGTCCCAGAATTACCCCCCCCCAAAAAAGAAGGAATCGCATCACTCTCTGCGCTAGTACTGGGGTGGAACTCAGACCCTATGGCGTTTGTCCCTTAGCTCTTTCCACTCAAGGCTAGCACTCTACCACTTGAATCACAGGGTCTCATGGACTTTCCTGCCTGGGGCTGGCTTCCAACCACAATCCTCAGATCTCAGCCTTCTGAGTAGCTAGGATTACAGGCATGAGCCACCAGTGCCCAGCATATTTTCCTGCCTGGGGAGGGGTCATATTAGACCACAAGGGCTGCCTTGGGCTGTCCTTAGGCTGTTTTCCAGCACCTCTGGCTGTTACTCAAAGAAAAACAGTTCAGGGAGTGTAATTAGTTGTACACTGGAGGTTTCTTTGCTATAGCTAGATGTTAGAACACGTCTTTATTCCTATTACGTACCATGCTTGGTGGTTGCTCTGGTGGGCTGCTCTGGGGTGGGGCTGGGGGTGGGATGGGAGCTGGTGGAGCAGGAGCAGGGGGCCCTGCCCTGCCTTCAGATCCCTCTGTGATGGGGGTCAGCTCTGGCTCTGGGCCCCCAGGCCCTGGCCCACCGTGCCGGTGGAAGAGACGGTTGATGATCTGCTGATACTGCTTCTTGTGGGTGGGGGGCAGGGCCACAGCGGGGCTCTGCTCCATGGAGCCCCTGCGCTTGAGCGGCCGAGGAATCTCAGCCAGGACACGTGCCACCTCCTCCAGCTCAGGCACCGACTGTGCCTCGGGTGGCAGTGCTGGCTGCAGCCTTGTGGGGCTGAGGGGCCGAGTCACAGTGCCTTCTTCTCCCATCTCCAGCCTCCAGCACGGGTGGCAGCAGACCCTCAAGCTCCGGCTCAGGCTCGAGCTCCGTGGGGGGCTTGAGGAGGCCTAGCAGGAGCAAGAGCACCATCAGAAGATGAACCCTCCAGAAGTCCCCCAGGACTCTGCGAAACTTTCAGGGCCTACAACCAGTATTGCTGCTGTGTGACCTCAGGGGCGTTCCTTGCCCTCTCTAGACTTCACTTTCCCGTGGCTGAGAATAATATACAGTTAGGATAACAACCATGTACTGAGCACTTAGGATGTACTTGGTGCTTTACATACTGTTTTTTTTTTTCCTCTCTCCTTATTCATTTTTGAGATAGGTATCTTATTATGTAGCCCAAGATGGCCTTGAATTTGTGATCTTTCTGTTTCCACTTCCTGAATGCCAGGATTATAGGCATGTATCACCCTGCCTGGTTTATCTCCCCGCCTCTCCCCAGCAGTGTTTCTAAAACAGGCGCAAGTAATCATCATCCTCATCTTCCTCCTCCTCCTCCTCCTCACTCTTGGCCCAGGTTCTCATAATCCATGTCATAATCCTTCAAGGCAATGATCATGACTGTCCCATACAAATGGGTGCAGAGGCTCAGCTAGGTTAGGTAATTTATCCTGAGTCACACAGCAAGCCCATGGTTAGAGACTCAAGCCTCCAATGGTTTCACACTAATTTATTAACTATTCTAATTTATATAACCATTGAGAGCTTCCTAGGCATTAGGCTCCACTTTCAGGGCTTGATATAGTTTTAGCATCATACTCCAATATGATAGTTTCTATCACCATTTACCTTTTACACTCAAGAATATGGAGGCTCAGAGAGGCTAAGTGACCTGCCTGAGGTCACACAGGATGGAACCAGTCAGTCTAGCTGCAGAATCCCTGTTTAACTATTGCCCACTCCTGTCGAACCTCATCTGGCCTCACTCTCTGCAGGAGGCTGGCTGTGATGGCTACCCCAGCCACTCTGCCCTGCCACCCTCCATCCAGCCCTCTGGTGCCCCCTTTGCCAACTTACCTTCATTCCCTGGGGGCCAGGTCTGTTGGGGAAGCTGGGGGGTTGTAGTAGGGGGCTGGGCGGGGGGCTGAGGCTGGGGTGGCACCTGGGGCTGCGGTTGGGGATGGACTTGGGGTTGTGGGGGCGGCTGGGGCTGGGTAGGCAGCTTCGGAGGAGGTGCTCGGGGGAAGACAGGGGATCCAGGGAACACATTCCTACTGGCCCCGTGCTCCCAGAAGGCATTTTGTAGCTTGAATATCATGCTGAGGGGGATGGGGCGCTGGCGTGGGGCGTTGCGAGGCTGGGGGGCGGCGGGGGGCATGGGGATGCGGCTGACGGGCTGCCAGCTGCGGGGCAGGGTCCCCGAGGGCCCTGCAGAGCCCAGGGAGCGGCGGTAGCCGCCTACATCGGAGCGCCGGTCGCTGGCCAGAGGGGAGACTTTGTAATTGCGGGGCAGGGTGGCGCTAGTAAGGTTGTCCTAGGGAAGAAAAAAAAAGGAGGGAAGGTAGAAGAGGCTCAGGTGGGACAGAGGGAGAGGCAAAGGTGAGAAGCGGGGGAAGAGGTGAGGGAAACGCGAGGATGAAGACAGAGGGTCCAGGAGGGGCGGAAATCCAAGAGAAAGCGCGCGGAGAAGGACTTCTAAGAGCCCCGCCCCGCCAAACCACGCCCTCTTCACTGGCGTAACCACGCCCCCAGTGCCTGGCCCAATCCGCTGGCAGAACCCCGCCCACCTCGCTGGCACGGCCCCGCCCCCAGTCGAGCCCCGCCCCTGACCTTGCCCGCCGCCCCCAACCCGTCCAGGCTGCTCTCTCTCCAGGGCAACAGCTGCAGGCCAGGTGAGGAGGGCCGCGAGAAGACGTCCAGGCCTGCGGGGGTAGGGGGTGGGAGGAATCATTAGGACGGGGGTGGAGTGATGAGGGGTGCGGGGGGGTCTCCCCTCCAGGTCCCCCACTCTCTTATCACTCACGTTCATAGCTGGCTGTTTGCGAAGATTTCTTCTCGTAAGCCACGTCCAGGTCGGACTCATTCCAGGCTTTTGGGGTGCGCCGGCGCAAGGTCAGGTCATCTGGGGGCATTTTGCGCGTGAAGATACTGGCCCCGGCCCCCCCAGATCGCCCCGTACCCCGCCGCCCAAGGGCGCAGCTCACCTTGCGCGCGCAGGGGCGGGGCGAAGGCGCTGCCGCCCGCGCCCAGCAGGGCGCTCCCGAAGGCGGGCACGTCGTAGGCGGAGGCCGGGGGGCGTGGGGAAGGCCCCCCGCTCCGGAAAGAAAGCCTGGGGACCCTCGGCCAGAGGGCTGCCGCGGGGAGAGCCCGCGCGGCCCAGGAAGTCGAAGGGAGTGGGGGGACCTTGCTGGCGGAGAGGGCCTGACCCAGGCCGCGGGGAGGGCGCACGGCCAAGCGGGCTGCCCGCTCCCTCGAAGGCGCGGGACCGCGGCGAGGGCGCGCGGTCCAGGCTGCCGTAGGCGTCCGGCTGCAGGTACAGCGGGGGTGCGCGGCGATGACGGCCGGGCTTTGGGGGACAGCGGGCTGTAGGGATGTAGGGACGGGGCACTCTCGGAGCGCCCGAATGGGGCATCTGCATTGTCGGTGGCTGTCTTCCGGGGGGGACCCTCGGCTGCCGAAAGGCTCGGAGACCGGGCTGGAGCTGTATCGGGGCATCTGCGGGGAGGCAGGGGGGGTTGGGGTCAAAGGGGACATTAGTGAAGGAAATCATAAGCAGTTATTGAATGTCAATTCAGAGGTGTTGGTTCAGGGTAAGAAGAGAGGCAGTGAGCCCAGTGAAAGGATGTTGATGCTAGCCTGTCACCACGGTCTCCTTTGGGTGACTTAGGAAAAGGCCCCTGGGGAGGTAGAGATAGGAGGGCCACAGCTGGAAGCTAGCAGTATTAAAAACAAACAAAAAAAGATGTTATGGAGACCCTATCTCAAAACAAAACAAGAAAGCCCATTGCTCATGGCCTGTAATCCTAGCTACTCAGGAGGATGGAATCTGAGGACTGCTGTTTGAAGCCAGCCAATGCTGAAAAAGTCTGTGAGACTCTTATCTCCAATTAGCAGCGAAAAGTTGGAAGTAGAGGTGAGACTCAAGTCGTAGAGCACTAGCCTTGAGTGGAAAAAAAACCAAGCAAGAGGGCAAGGCCCTGAATTCCAGCCCAAGTGCTGGCACAAAACAACAATGACAAAACTCATTGCTGTAATTCCAGCTATTCTGGAAGGGGGGGGGACAGGAAAAAGGATGACATTCTGAGGTTGCCCCAGAGCAAAAGCTCAGAAAAATAAAACAATAAAGCTCTGGGGGTTATGTCTCAAGTGGTAGAGCACTTTAAGGTCCTAAGTTCAAACCCAGTACTATCAAAAGAAACAAAAAGAAGCAAGGGAGCCTTTTCTTCTTAAATGTCCTCCTCCACCGATTCCCTCTTTGAGCAGCCCACAAATCTGCCCTCAAGAACAGGACATAGATCTGCCTAAGATGGCGTGAGTCATGAGAAGCAGGCCTTGGGGTCAGGATGGGGATCAGGCTCACCCTAGGGGAGACTCCGGCCTGGGGGCCAGGAGGTGCAGGTGAGTCTGACCACAGGGACTCCAGCTGCTTGGTCAGTTCGTCCACCTTGGCCGCCGCCGTGTCCAGCTCCATCTGCTTTAGATCCATGTGTTTCATGGCCAGCGCTGGTCGGGCGGGCAGGAGTGAGGGTCAGGACCACGCCTCCCGGAGGGCCCTGCCCCTCAGGCCCCGCCCCCTGCCCCAGCTCACACTGGAAGTTCAGGTCCAGAAGGTCCCGCGCGCTCTGGAACGCCTCGCTGTCCATGGTGCCAGGCCGGAGCAGGGGCGCCTGAGAGTTGTGGGGGGAGGGGATCATCTCAGACTCTGGACCCCACCCGTGGGAAATGCGCGGCAGGGGGGAGAGGAGCAAGACTGCCCCTGCCTTCCCCTAGAAATGCTTTGCTTCAAGGAAATTGCAAGTCCTTCAAACTTTGGTCCATACATAACCTACAAGACCCAAACCCTTTTGAGAAGGCTCCACAGAGCTTCACCCCCTTCCTCAGATCTCAGCCTTCACTGAATGCCTCCTAGGGGTCAAGGGATAATGTCAAAGGCTGGAGGGCATTTTAAAACATAATAGTTAGAAGTGGCGCTGTGGCTCAAGCGGTAGAGCACTGGCCTTGAGCTGAAGAACGCAGGGACAGCGCCCAAGCCCAGAGTTCAAGCCCCACGACCGACAAAAAAAAAAAAAAAAACCATAATAGTTGTGCATTTCACTTGGAGTATAAATGCAATTTTAAGAACAAAAACAAGAACCACTATGGCATACTGGGACATTACCTTCTAAGACCGTATTAAGTGCTTTGTAGTCAGTCATGGTCAAAACCTCTCTAACAGGCATGAAAGTTAAAGCTCAGCAACGTCTGTGCCAAGATCTCACTCGTGCCTGGCATGGTGGCACACGCCTGCGGGCCCAGCTACTCAAGAAGCAAAGGAAGGGGCTGGGAAGGTGACTCAGTGGTAGAGTGCTTGCCTTGTAAGCATAAGGCCCTGGGTTCAATTCCTCAGCACCACATAAGCAGAAAAAGCCGGAAGTAGCGCTGTGGCTCAAGTGGTAGAGCGCTAGCCTTGAGCTGAAGAGCTGAGGGACAGCGCCCAGGCCCAGAGTTCAAGCCCCTTGGCGATAGAAGAAGAAGAGAAAGAGGAAGAAGAAGAAGAAGAAGAAGAAGAAGAAGGAGGAGGAGAAGCAGGAGGAGGAGAAGGAGGAGGAGGAGGAGGAGGAGGAGGAGGAGGAGGAGGAGGAGGAGGAGGAGGAGGAGAAGAAGAAGAAGAAGAAGAAGAAGAAGAAGAAGAAGAAGAAGAAGAAGAAGAAGAAGAAAAAGAAGAAGAAAAGGAAGGAGAATCAGAGCCAAGGCCTCTTCGGATCAAGTAGGGAGAATTTGGAAAGTAAAAGCAAAAAGGGGCGTGGCTCGCTCAGCTAGCCGGAAGGGGCGTGGCTTGCCAAACCCCCAGTTCAGTCTCTTAAGTTTCACACCTAGATGGGACCTAACTTGTTTTCTTCTTCATTGTCTCTACCAGGCTGGAGGCCTGGCTCACAGGGACGCATGGTTTGAAGGAACAATATGGCGGCTGGGGCCAAGGGGTGGATCAGCAGCTGTGGTCACCAGCCTAGCAGGAAGGAGGGAGCCTTCCCTCTCCTGGGGAACCAGTCAAGCCAGCACCAACCACGTCCCCATGGCAGCCGCCACGCCCGCTGGAGCTGTCACCCTCCTGACTACACCGACCTCGGATTTGGCAGTAGGAGCGTGGGCAGCAGGCTGGGTGGAACGTGTTGATACTGGCCTCTTGTCTAGAGGCCACAAGATCAGAACCTGTTGGGGCTGATGGCTCATTTGGGTGTATTGGGAGTGTGTGACCTTGGGTGATGAGTCCTCTCCACTCCTGAGGCCTCAGTTTCCCCACATTAGAAGGACGCAAACTAGCTATTGGGAGAGGGAGGCTCTTCAACTTGAATTGCAATCAGCCCCCATCCTGAAATTGTAAGGGTGTGAGACTCTGGGACTCCTCAGCTTGAGAGTCTACAGGTGGTGGGTCCAAGATTCTATCTTTGGAACATTCTAGCATTTTCTAATTTAGTTGGTGTATTAGTCTGTTTTCCTGCCCTTTCTTCACTTCGTATCCACCCCAAGTTCCCACCACCCTGGAAGCTCAGAGAAGGGAGAAAGTTGCTCAATGAATGAGCCAGACTTTTGGGAGTCATGTTTGGCAGTACCCCTGGCAGATCTGACCAGCGTACCTCAGTTTCCTAACCTGTAAAATGAGAATGGTCCAGCGGCTTACTTCATAAAACTATTGTGAACATACTTGGGGTTTAATTCTTTTTTTTTTTTGGGTCCGGTCGTTGGGCCTGAACTCTGGGCCTGGGCGCTGTCCCTCAGCTCTTCAGCTCAAGGCTAGCGCTCTACCACTTCAGCCACAGCGCCACTTCCGGCTTTTTTCTTTTTGCTTATGTGGTGCTGAGGAATTGAACCCAGGGCCTCAGGCATGCAAGGCAAGCGCTCTACCACTGAGCCAACTTCCCAGCCCCCGGTTTAATTCTTTTTGAAAAGTAAAGCCTCAGCAAGTGGAGGCTATGGGCCAGGTGGGGTGGTGCATACCTGTAATCCCAGCACTTGGAAACCCTAGGCAGGAAGATTGAGTTCAAGGCCAGTCCTGGTGTACATAATGAGACTGTCTCAAAAACCCACCAAAGAAAGTAGAAATTAAAACTCAGGGCTTTAAACTGGGTGTAGTAAGCCGGAAACTGGTCGTGGTAAGCCAGACGCCAGTGGCTCAAGTCTGTAATCCTAGCTACTCTGGAGGCTGAGATGTGAGGATCACGGTTCAAAGCCAGCCCAGGCAGGAAAGTCTGAGACGCTTATCTCCAGTAAACCACTAGAAAACTGGAAGTGGTGCTGTGGCTCAAGCGGTAGAGCGCTGGCCTTGAGCTGAAGAGTTGAGGGACAGCGCCCAGGTCTAGAGTTCAAGCCCCACGACGGCCAAAAAATAAAACAAACTGGACATGGTGGCTCACCCCTGTAATCCCAGCTACAGCGGAGGTAAAGATCAGGAGGCTGAGGCCAGTTAATGAGGACCCCCCCCCCCAATTTCAATCAACAGCAGGTTTGGCACTCCATGTCTGTCATTCCGGCTACGCAGGAGACATAGGTAAGTGGATTGAGGTCCTGGGCATAAACTCTGAAATCTTAATTGAAAAATAACACCCCGACGGGACCACCAGGGGGCGCCGGGGTCCCCGCGGGGCGGGATGGGGCGGGGCGGTTGCAGCCCCTGAGCTCAGGCCCAGGGAATGTGTGGCGGGTCTGGGCAGGTGCGGGCCTCCCTGGGCGGGGCGCGAGGGCGGGGATCGGGGGTGGCGTAGGCCGCGTCGGTTCCCAGGCTTCTTAAGCCCAAGTCCTCTTCCCTGGGATCCCTTCTGACTTCTGTCCACCCCCTTGGGGTCCCTTCTTTTGTCTCACCTAATCTGGGGGGGAGGAGTAAGGATCCCCGTGGACTTCCTGGAGGAATCGTCCTCCTCCTAAGGAACCAGGTCAAGGCCTAAGGCTAGGCCGAGAACACCCATGTTGGATTCCCGCAGCCCTGTGGGTTACTCTGTGGCTGGGAGAGGTCCCCACCTTCTCTGGGACTCTATTTCCCCTGTGTGGACAGCTGTGGGATGAGTTGGCGACTACCTCGCCCCGGGGCTGAACCTCTAGCTTTGGACTGGTTATATGTGTTTCTGGTTACCTCGGTTTCCACCTAACTACAATGGGGGAATGAGTACCTTCGCCTCCAGAGGTGTGAGGATTGAGTGACCTAATTTACACGCATGAAACGAAGTTCACACGTCCAGGATTCTTAATGACGCAGCTTCCTCCACGGGTCATTAAGACAACACAAAGGTGAGGGTATGCCACTCAAGGTCATTTTGCCCTCTGCTCCACCCCCACCCAAATAAAGGCTCCTTTCAGCTCTGCATGAGTTTTGATGCTGGGAATCTCAAATCACTAGCTCCTTGGATCTCCAAAGCTTCCCTTCCCACATTCATCTCTGCGTTCTGGCCAGTGATCAATCATCTCCAAAACAACAACAAAAACTTGGGAGACCAGGGCAGGGAGCTCCATGGAAGATTCTAGACAGAAGCTGGCAAAAGCCCAAGATGTGGGTGATGTCTGTTTGCCAGCCTCAGTTTCCCCGCTGGTAGGGAGGAGTCGCTTCCCTGGGTCAGCAATCTCTATTGAAGGGAGAACTCATAGGCTGGCCTGGGGGGGGGGGGGGGGCGGAGTCTGAGATGTCTTTGGGGATATGGGTTGGAGTCCTGCCTACCTGCCAGACCTGATCCCTGGCATGGCCTGTGTTGGCGGTCACGGGTATTATTTTTAATTTCATCTCAGCCTGTCACTGAATGCCCTTCACACCCAGACATTCACAAACATCCCGGTCCCATCTCCTCGGGTCCCCGCTCCCTTTTTAATCCCCGACACATGACGCATAGGGGTGGAGGGATGCGGGGGAGAGAGGCCGGCCTGCCCCTGCCCTCCTCCAGCCTGAAGGACAGACACACACCTCCAGAATTAGCCTCTACCCCTCCCTTATCTCCCACAACAATTCAGGTCAGACAGATGGGCGTGGAGGTGACATTTCTCACCTCAGGGTCAGGCCCAGGAGCCTGGACGGGGGAGGTTCGGGAAATGTGGTGGGAGTGGATGACTCCCATCTCCCTTCGGGCCAGCGCACGGTTAGGAGGCCGAAACCTGGCCCTTAAACGCGGCTGCTGCTGCTGCGTGGCCCTGCCAGCCTCAGTTTACCCCCTCCTCTGTGTGCCACGCAGAAGTGCTCCACCACGCAAGCATCCCGGGTCCCAACCTTGCCTTCCTAGAATTCTGCCTTAAGCTCTCTAGACTGACCTCTGCACACCCCCAGATTATCTGCCACCCCTGTGGGGGCAACACGAGGCCCCCCGGGCCGCCGCCAGGGGGCGCGCGGGGGCGCCTTCCCCCCTCCCCTGCGCCTGGTTAAGCAGGTCTGACGCCCCGAGTTAATGACATGTTGGGGTTCGCTCAGTGGCACCGGGGAGGTAGGAAAGCTGTCCCGGTTCCTCACCTCCCCTTCCCCCCCCCCCCCGCCTCCCGGAGCCGGAAAGCGGGGGAACTTGGCGGCAGAGCCTCCGGAGGGGCCCCCGGGACGTGTCCCCCCTCCGTCTCAAAGCCCCAAGTTCTGCTGTCCCCGCCCCACCCTCGGCTCTGACACCCCAGGCGGAGGCGGAGGCCGGCGGCGCGACCACCCGCTCCAGCCCCGCCACCATCTCTTCCCCCTAGATTCGGAGATCGGACACCCCAAAGTCACCCAGGCAACTCAGACCCCCGAGAGCCCCCCCAGCTCAAGGCCCTCTGCAATCCCAGCGCCAACGTCCCCCTGAGATCGGGATACGGGGGGGTCCCCCCAGTCCCTCATTCCAAGAACTCCGGCATTCGAGCCCCCTCCTCCTCCCACCCCCCACCCCCCCGCCCCGCTCTTCCCTCTACTCAGAAAACCAAGTTTCCAAGCTGCCTCTGCCCAAGTTCTGCCCCGGGACCCCGTGTCCGCGTCCCCGCCCTTTCCTCCCTAGGGTCGCGGGGTCAGGATGCTCGGGAAGGGGGGGGGGTCGCTGGACCCCCGGAGGGTGGAACTCACGGGTCCGGAGCAAATCCTGGCACCGGGGGGGCTTCCTCCGGCTCCGGCTCGGGCTCCAGCTGCGGGGCGCGGGGCGCGAGCGGGGCGGGGCAGGCGCCGGGAACAGGTTAGACGACGTGACGGGGCTGGAGGGAGGCGGGCCCGCAGGGGGCGGGGCCCGGGGCGGCCCGGGGCACCTTGGGACTTGTAGTCCCAGAGGGGGGCGGGCCACGCCCATGCACCGACATCTCTCTCACACACACACCCACCTTCCCCCCGAAGTCCATTTCACAGACGGGAAGAACGAGGCCCAGAACCTGGGAGCGACCGGCCTGCGAGGCCCACGGGAGGAGCCGGATGCCGCCTTGTGGGGCTGCAGGATACTGGTACCTGAGCCCTTCCCCTCTCGGCCAGGCTCAGTTTCCCCTTTAATGAGGGAAGATGTGAGGCTCCATCTACCAAAGGGGTGTAAGATTGGAGGCTGACCCTTTCTAACCTTGGTAATCAATTGCACTTAGACAGTGAGCCTAACTCCTGGACGAGAGGAGGGACAGTTTGGATTGGGATGAAAGCCTCGGTGTGGCTGCCCAGCCCTGGGTACAGTAATGGCATTGCACCCTTTTGCGCAAAAGTAAATTGCCTTGGGAGGAGGGGGCACGGGGGCAGAGAACTGGAGGCTGAGCCGGGCGCCGGTGGCTCACGCCTGTCATCCTAGCTACTCAGGAGGCTGAGATCTGAGGATCAGGGTTCAAATCCTGCCCGGGCAGAAAAGTCTGTGAGACTCTTCAATTAACGACCAAGCGCTAGAGCACAGTCTTGAGTAAAAGAGATCAGGGGGCAGTGCCCAGGCCCCGAGTTCTAGACGCACGACATCATCCCCCCCCCCAAAAAAAGATTGGAAGCTGGGGAAACACCCCCTTCTAAGTGCTGAACTGCATCAGTCTCTCCTCGGCTCTCTGAGTTGGAGCGCTACAGAATATTCCAGCCAGAGCCCCACATCTGGGCTGGACAGCCGTCCCAGCAGCACCAGGGACGGGCGCCCAGCACCATCCAGCCGGGGTCCTCCGGAGCCCGCGGGGACGGCTGCCACCGACTGACGGGAACTGTCTGGAGATTCCCAGCGGGGAGGGCAGGTCCCCTCCCTCCTCTCTGGAATGGGAGGGGCACCCCAATTCTGCAGTAGGATCCGAAATCTCGGCAGAAGCTGCGAGAAGCGGCTCTGACACACCGGCCAGGAATGCAGTCGAGTCACCCGGTCTCGCCGCCGTCCCGGGGCTCCACCCGCCGCCCCGCGGGGCGCAGCCACGGTGGGAAAAGGTTCGGGCGCGTCCCCGAACCCCCCCCCCGTCCACGTGCGGTTGTTTACACACGTCTGGGGGCAGGGGAGGGGGCGATCTGGATTCCCACCCCCGGCCCCTTCCTCGAAGCTACGGGGACGTTTCCTCCCGCAGGAGACTGGGTCCTCGGGGCGTCCCCGGAGCTCCGTTTGGTCCACGATCCCAGCCCCTCCTACTCGGTAACCCTCCAAGGAGGTCGGCGCCTGGGTCCGAGGCTCCGCCCTCAACCCCACAGGCCCCGCCCCCTGCGTTTCCCGCTCCAGGAGAGTCGGGGAGCCCCGCCCCCGGGGGGGTACGGCGAGTCTAGGCGAAGGAATACTCTATATTCCTCTATTTCACGACATCTCTCACTCAAGTCCTAAGTTTCCAAAGCTTCGGGGCCTCCACAGGGGGTGGAAAAAAAAAGAACCGTAACGCCGAGGGCACAGCTCTGCCAGCCAGGATACTCACCTGGCTCTCCAAGAATTTCGGCCAAACCGACCTTCCTGTCTCTTTAAGAGATAGGGTCTATCAGTGACTGCCCCTTTAAGGCGGTGTCGGGGGCAAACTATGTGGTGCAGACTGTGGGTGAGACCCGTCGGGTCCTGGCGGAACTGTTTCTCTAGAGAGGCGGCGAGTCCGTTTCTCTCAGGACCAGACTTGGAGGCAGCGTGTTCTTCGGGGCTTCTGCAACACCGAAGTGGACGTTTCCCTCTGTGGCGTTAACAGAGTTCACAGGCCCCGACCTACCCCTCCCCCCCGCGCTCCGCTGCCACTTGGGCGCGTCCGGGCGCGGCCCCGCCCCCTGGGGTCCGCGTGGTCGGCCGCGCGTCTGGGCGGCGCGGGCCGCGGCGTGCGCCGGGCGCGAGTCCCGGCACGGCGGGGATGGCGGCGACCCCGTCCGGGGGTGAGCGGGCGAGTCGGCGAGGGTGGGGGGGGGAGCGGGGAACGGTGCGTGGGGCCCCCCGGAAAGAGAGGCGGGAGGGGGACGGGAGCTGGGCGCGGGGCGGCGGCGGCGGGCGGGCGGGGAAGGGCGGGCGCTCCCGGGGCTGGGGGAGCGGGCGCTCCCGGGGCTGGGGGAGCGCGGCCGTGAAGGGGGGTGGGGGCGATCCTGGAGCGGGAACCCGTGGGCCGTTAGCGGCTTCAGGCTCCGTCTCCCCTTCGTCCGCAGGGGCGGCTCGGTTCTCTTGTCCCCCCAACTTCACCGCGACGCCCCCGGCCTCGGAGCCCCCTCGTTTCTCCCTGGAGACGCTGACCGGCCCGGACGCGGAGCTGTGGCTCATCCAGGCCCCGGCAGACTTCGTTCCCCACAGGTGGGCGGCCTCCGGCTAGCTCCGCTCGAAGCGGAACCGACCGGGTTGTCGGGGAGTCGTTCTGCTCGTTTTCTTTTTCATTGGGCAGGTACTGCGCCTTGAACTCGGGGTTTGGGTGTTGTCCCTTAAGTTTTTTCACACGAGGCGGCGCTCTACCACTGGAGCCACAGCCCCACTTCCGGGTTTTGGCTATCTTAAAATCTTGTTTCTTTGTAAAGATGCTGTGCAGAGGGGTTACGGTTAGATGGCTGTTTAATTAGAGATACGAATCTTGCAAGTGGGACTTTCCTGCCTGAGCTGCTTTGAACCATAAGTCTCAGATCTCAGCCCCCTGAGTAGTTAGGATTACAGTTTTAAGCCGCTGGGACCCCTCTTAAGAGGGGCATTTCTTTCTCTTTTTTTTTTTTTGGGGGGGGGGGTCCGGTCATGGGGCCTGATCTCTGGGCCTGGGCCCTGTCCCTCAGCTCTTCAGCTCAAGGCTAGCGCTCTACCACTTGAGTCACAGCGCCACTTCTGGCTTTTTTCTTTTTGCTTATGTGGTGCTGAGGAATCCAACCCAGGGCCTCAAGCATGCAAGGCAAGTGCTCTACCACTGAGCCCAAGGGGGGCATTTCTGAGCAACCTAGAAATACCACTATTTCCTGTCTGACCTAACCTCTGCCCTCCCTTTTCCTTCTCCCAGCCTTGATGGACGGCGGGTGCCTCTCTCAGGGTCCCGGATTGTAAAGGGCAAGTTGGGGGGCCAGCGGCACCGCTATCATGTCCTCAGCAGCAGTGACTCCCAAGCAGCGACCCTGCTTGCTCCCTGCACAGCAACAGGAGGTGAACTCACCTGTGCCCCTGCCCCCCATGGCAGCCTCAGGATCATCGAGAGTCACCAAGAATCCTTGCCAGGAACTCCTGTGCAGCCTATTCTTGCGAGCCCCCCACCACAAATCCCCCCTGGCCTGAGACCTCGGTTCTGTGCTTTTGGAGGTAACCCCCCAGTCACTGGGCCTGGTTCAGCTTTGACACCCAAGTCACCTACTTTGGAGAAGAAGAGGAAGAAGAAGAGGCAGATGGCAGAGGCTGCTGCCACTCTAGAGGCTGTGAATGGCCATGGGACCCTAGAGGTGGGCCTGGCCGGGTCAGCCCTAGAAACAGATGTAGGGAGGAAGAAGAAGAAGAAGAAAAAGCAACAGCCAGAGATGATGAAGCCTGCAGTGGAGGTGCTGGAGCATAAAGTGAAGGTGCTAGTGCCAGAAATGGAGGTGCCAGGGCTGGGCCCAAGCACCACCAAGAAGAGGCCCCCAGAGGCAGAAATGGCAGAGCCAGAAGAAAAGCCATCAGATTTGAAACTTGTGGTTAAAACTGAGCCTCCCCAAGAGACAGCCCTGCCCCCCACCAAGAAGAGAAAGAGGCCCAAGGGGACCCCAGGGATGGAAGAGGCAGTGGCTATGGTTGATTCTCAGCCACTGAAAGTGGAGGCACAGGAGGAAGCCATCCTGTCTCCCCCAAGAAAGAAGACAAAAAAAGGAAAGAGGCAGACTGCCATGATGGAGCCAGAGACTGAGGGAACTGAGCCAGAGGTGGCGCCTTTGGGGCTCCCTGGATTCCCAGAGGAAGTAGAACCAGAGGCTGGGACAACTCTGGTGTCCCCCAAGAAAAAGAAGAAAGAAAAACCACAAAATGTGACAGTGGAGGCTGGTGATCCTGAGCCCCAGGCAGCTGTAGCCCCCCTCAAGAAAAAGAAGAAGGACAGAGAGCACAAAGCGACAGGCAGGACTGTCAGGACTGTCTAATGTCCAATCTGCCAAAGGTGAGCGCGGGCCTGAGGCAGGGCAGCTCCACGATCCACTGAGAAAGAAGGGAAGTGAGGTATTGGCTTCAAAGACAGCACCCCAGGAGACCTCAGGGGAAGCCACGGAACGCCAGCCAGCACCTAGAAAATGCTTTATTATGACCTTGGGTCGCCAGCAGCCAGTCATGGGGGTACTTTCAGGAAGGGCTCGTGAAGAACATCAAAGAGCCTCCGCGCCTGGGACAGGGAGAAATGAACCCAGCATTAAAGAAGCCATTTGTTTACTGCATCCAGAATGGGTTTGTTTTTTCCCCCCCTAGTTTCCAGGAGCTCTGGGATGTAGGAGAGAAGATGACAACGTGGATTCTACCCAGTACTGGAAGTGGGGCTGGCTCTCAGCCTCTCAGTTTTCCTGTTTCCCCATTAGTAAGAGAGTGAAGTGTATGGATGGCATAGGCAGTAGTACACGCCTGTAATCCCAGCTCATCTGGAGGTGGGGGGAGAACTGCTACCTTGAGTTAAGTGTGGGCAAAGGTAGCAAGATGTAATCTTACTAAAAACAAAAAGGTTCAGAATGTGGCTTGCCTATCGAGGACAAGACCTTTGATTCATTCACTCCTACTGTGGCCAACAACTCAGAGTGAGGGGGGGGTGTATGTGGGCTTTCCTCGAACTTTGAAACCTTGGTGTCTGAGTCCCTGCTCATTTAGGTCCCACTGCTACCCCAGCCTGTCTGACCTTTACCCAGAGTTCTTACCTTCTGGGGGCCCAGGCCAGGGCACAAAGCCAGGTCTTCCCTCGAAGCAGCAATGAGCTGTTCCAGAGACTGCAGGAGGTAGAGATGGGTTAGGGGCTGTGCTGGGCCTGGCCAGGGAGGAGCCTGAGAGTCCTGAGAGGGGGCAGCTGTGGTGAGGCGGGAAGGGTGGGGGTGGGAGCAGGAGACAGAGACGGGCCTTCTGAGAACTGCTGAGGGAGAGATGCTTACTCCAAAAGTGGCGAGTAGTGTCTGGCTGTCTGTCCTGTTGACCGACTTCACAGTGGTCAGACATTCAGTAGCCTGGGAAGGGGAGGAGACAAAAAAATTAATCAGGGCTGGGCACCAGTGGCTCACGCCTATAATCCTAGCTACTCAGGAGGCTGAGATCTGAGTATCACAGTTCAAAGCCAGCCCAGGCAGGAAACTCCATGAGACTCTTATCTCAAGTAAACCACTAGAAAACTAGAAGTGGCGCTGTGGCTCAAGTTGTAGAGCGCTCTTCTTTAGCTGAAGAGTACAGGGACAGCGCCCAAGCTCAGAGTTCAAGCCCCACGATCGACAAAAAATCAACTGGGCACTGGTGGCTTACAGCTGTAATCCTACCTATTCAGGAGGCTGAGATCCAAGGATTGTGGTTCAAAGCCAGCCTGAGCAGGAAAGTCCTTAAGACTCATCTCCAATTAACAACCAGAAAAACCCAGAAGTAGCACTGTGGCTCAAGTGGTAGAGTGCTAGCCTTAAGCAAAAGGAGTTCAAGGACAGTTTCCAAGCCCAGAGTTCAAGCCCCAGATCTGGCTAAATAAATAACCAGGAAAAAACAAACCAGCAACATTGATGTAATATGTTGCAGCTCATGCCAATAAACCTGCCTGCTGGAGAGGCTAAAGACAGACAGACCACAGTTTGAGGCCAGCCTGGCAGAAATGTTTGAAAGATCTTTCTAGCCTCATGGCTGGCTGTAATGGAATATGCCTGTCACCCCAAGCTATACGGGAGGCTGAGATTGGGAGGATCAAAGTTTAAGGTCTCAAAAACTCCCTTCCTCACACCATATAGAATGAGACCCTAATGAAGGCAAACTGCAATGAAAGTGTCAGCAAGGAGCTAGGGCAGGTGTTCAGGAGGGAGGAGGGAAGGACGGGAGGGGTCTTACCCGGGACAGGAAGTTTTGCTCCAGTTTCTCCATCAGGAGGTCTGGTGGCTTCTGCTCATAAGCCTTGTAGGTCTCCAGATGTCGTCCAGCTTCCTCGGGGCTGGGATGACAGGACACGAGAGGGAAGAGCTGTCACAGTCTAGATTCTTCCCTTCATTATGCAGTGCTGGCTGAGGTGACAACTGCAAACTCCAACGTTCACTGAGTCCCCGCTGGGTGGATCTTCACCCTTGGGTTTTCCCCAGGACTGGCCTGGAACTGCAGACCTCATTAAACCAGCAGGTTACTTCTTTTCTGGCTCAAAGGTAGGGCTTAGGAGCCCAAACCCTGGGCTGAGATCTAAGGATGGCAGTTCAAACACAGCCTGGGCAGGAAAGTATGTGAAACTCTTATCTCCAATTAATCACCAGAAAACTGGAAGTGGAACTGTGGCTCAAGGTGATAAACTAGCCTTGAGTGAAAGAGCTCAGGGACAGTGCCCAGGCACTGAACTCAAGC